TATAATAAAGTTTTTCCTCAAAAAATGGTGATGTTTTTTTTTCCCCTTTTTTTTTTTTTTTTTTTTTTTTTTTTTTTTTTAAGTGGATGTGACATTGACAACCAGAAATTATGCTAAGGATCTTACACTGCTCTGTCAGTGAACAGTTGTAGGACCAAGCTTTGGGGACCTGGCAAGAAGGAAGAAAGAATGTGCAGATGTATTAAATGATTATCTTTGCCACTAACTACTATATTTTTTCCAAATCCAAGTTGACTTCAAATGTGAGGAAGTCCCCCAGTAATAAGATTCTATACATGGACAATTATATATTTTTGGTTGAATGGGGAGAGACCCTCATCTTGTATTTGATACGATAATCTTTCATTCATCTTTCTTCTTTTTGTTGAAGAAAAGATTAAATAGTGCACTGTTGACTCATATTCAGCTTCCTGTCCACTGTAACCTTCAAGTCCTCTTCTGCAGAGCTGTCACTTAGCTAGTTGATCCCAAGTCTGTAGGGGTGCATGGGATTCTCCCATCCAGAGTACAGGACTTTTTGTACTTGTCCTTGTTGAACAAAGGCCCAGTCTTCCAATTTGTCTTGGTGACTCTGAATCCTAGCCCTACCCTCCAGCATATCTACTACTCCCCCCAGCTTGGTATCATTTGTGAACTTGCGTATGGTCGATCCATCCCATCTTCCAGATCATTAATGCAGTATTGAACATATTGAACAAAACTGGCCAAGAATGTTTGACTTGAGCGTCATTCTTAAAGCTTGTTTGACTGTCTGTTTCCTTTATAAATTGTGTGTGGAAAAGGGCTACGTTTCAAAATCGAAAACTTCAGTACACACATTCCTTAATCTGTTTTTGGGGAAGTGCAATTTTCTTGAATATTGACAAAAAGTAACATTATAAAATGCATACTGTGAATACCATGTCGACTATGCATATACACTTAAGTAGACGGGTTTTTTTAAAGTCGGTCTTGCGTATCTGACTTAGACAGTTGAGCAATCCTAACAATAACTTTCTCATAAGATTTATGTTGTCCTTCAATAAAGTAAACATTTAAAGTGATTGAAGGGAATTCTACTGTTTTGAGAGCTGTGTTGTTTAGTTTGTTCCTTCAAATATGGTCTATTCATCTCAAAGAGATGATGCTCTCTCAAGACTTTCTCGAGGAAATTCATACATAAAATCTGCTGAAGGTTTTTTGTAATACAGCAGAAAGATCAAAGTACAAGACCGTAGGCCATGTAAATAATGCTTTACCATCTGTATTTATTTTTGCAGCATCCAGTTACATTTTACTCTTTTATTTCTCTGAATGTTCTGGCTGCTATGTGTTTGTCACAACCTCAGTATTCTTTCTGGGCAGTGCTTCATCAGCTTACTGACGTCTTTTCGTATGAATTTGCTGCAGTAATTGCTGGTGCACACTGTTAGTGTTTAAGCATATCTTTTCTTCCTGGAATGCCAAATATGTTTTAAAAAAATGGCACTGAATGGCTTTGTTTTTCCACTATAAAAACCATGCTGATGATTATTTCTGCATTATAAGCCTTTTAGTGTTGGTACACAGAAGACTTGTACAGTTGTTGGGTTGGTCTCAGCTTGGGAAAACTTTTAAAATATTCACTTTGTTGATAACAGTAGTTTACTGCCCTTGCAACAGACCCTCTAGTATTAGTGGTACAACTGTGGGGAGGGAATAAGGGCAGCCACCCAAGCACCAACTTTATCAAGGAAGGTGAAGAGAAGCAACTGCTGGCAGCAGCTGCATGTCCACAATTGCTGCAGCAACCAGAAATCACGGCATCTGCTTTGCTTTGGGCACCCAGCTGCATCCCTACGCTACTGCCTGGTGTAGATAGTTTCATAGTTTCTAGGGTCGGAAGGGACCTTAGCAGATCATCTAGTCCCACCCCCTGCCATGGCAGGAAAGAGTACTGGGGTCAAACGACCCCAGCAAGGTGTTCATCCAACCTCCTCTTAAAAACCCCCAGGGTAGGAGCCTGCGCCACCTCTCTTGGAAGTTGGTTCCAGACCCTAGCCGCCCTGACTGTGAAGTAGCGCCTCCTGATGTCTAACCTAAACCTACCCTCTGCCGGCTTGTGACCGTTATTCCTGGTCAATTTAATTATAGACATACCAGATGGTATGTCAACTTAATTGTTAGTGGTGATGGCAGTCGGGTGCCTGTCTGTATTAGAGCTTCCATTGTAGGAGATGAACTGTTGTTAACAACAGTAGGGACATTTGGGGTTGTTGTTTTTTTTTAAAAGCCTAATAGTAAAACAAGCCTTAGTTTTAATGGGAATTACTGAAGGGGAGAATAGGCATTCTGACAAAGATGCCTCTGACATATATTTTTTTCTTACTATTAGCACAAAAGTGAGCTTACTTAAGTGTTATGACTGCAGCTTCCTCTCTCTCTTGTTTTGCAGGAGCTGACAAGTGCTTTGATGCACGTGAAACTACATCTTTTTGTCCAGATCTTTACACTTGTGTTCTTCCCAACAGCAATATGGCTTTTTCTTCAACTATTATCAATCACACCCATAAATGAATGGCTTTTAAAAGGGTATGTTTAACCATATTGGAGTGAAATATATTTATGGCTATTTTAAAGATTGCTCTTCCAGTAATGTATGTTTAACAGTTATGTAGCGAAGAGATTTCACTGTGCACTAGCATGCTTTGACACTTGCTATTGAAAAAGCAGCACACACAAGATTATTCTTTCAGAATGAGGGTCTTGTGTTTAGAAAAACTTGTCAGCTAATTTCCTATGTACAGAGCTTGCTACAGATCAGCTTTCTGTTTGACAGCAGGCTGTTGAAGCTGCTATGCTAGTTTTTAAGAAGCATGAGGAAAAAGTGATTAATGCAGATAGACTTAAGTCTGTGAACCCATGTAGTACGTATGTCTTGTGTGTGTGTTTTAAATGATCTTGTGTATTCAGTTTCACGTTGTACATTTCCAGATGATTATTTAGTATTTATTTTTCAGCTGTGTTACAGACTTTTTACTTTGTGAAATGGTCCCAACATTACGAGTGACACAGAATCTTAACGAGAAGACTGTCATTTATGAAACAGCAGTATTGTCTTGCATATTAATACCTTTAGATTACTGAGATTAAGGATGAAGAGGAACAGCTTTAATTTACACTTGGTGATTCAAGGCTACTGTGAAGATGATGGTATTGGCTTTGTAACCAGCAAGACTAATGCTTGGTTTTCCTCATAATTAGCCTGCCAGTAATCTGCCCTAATTCCTAATAGTCTTGATTGCTAGACTACAAAGTACAAGGAGTTTTGATCCTTCTCTTCCCACCCTCTGCATTGCCTTCTCTCTTTCCTGCTGTGTTTTTTTGGATTTAAGGGTTATATTGTCATCTTTATGCACAGGCACATACATGTGATACCATAATTATAGTGACTAAAACTTACTGCTTTTCATGAATTTCACATTTACAGCTATTTTTATAAAAGTATCTATTGAGGCTTTTTAAAGCTTAAAAATGCTTCAGAAACGTTTGTCCAATTGTGTTTTGATTTATTTTTTTGTGTTGAGAGTGTTTTAGCTTTTATTGCAGTTAGCTTATTGTGTGGGGATTTCGTACAAAGAACACTCAGATTAGTGAATTAATGCACAATAACTTTAAAAGGGCGTCTTCTCTATCAATACTGCCATTCACGAGACTGCACTGGCAAGGTGCCCTTGTGAGTGAATCCACGCACTCAAAGGGGAAAGTTTAGTGGGAGCTGCAAGGAAGCTGGAGAAAATCAAAACCACTGAGCTCTATCTTTACTTAGACAAGCACACACCCAAAAGAAGGTTTGAGGTCTTTTAATTGCCAGTTTAGCTCATTCTGGAGCTAATATTTCTTGGTCTTTACAATGGAGTTTTCTATGTTGAGCTAAAGGAGAATGCAAGGAACTTTCTAACTCTATGTAAAACAGGACAAATTGCTGCCCTCATGCTCTTGTGAAACAGCTCTACTCTTCAGAAGCATTACGGTTCCCCCGATAAAGACAGAAGGGGGTAGACAGCGGCAGTGCCTTAGCTGCTCCCTTTACTGACTGATTAGTGAAGCTTAAGGGAGGGGATTAATAAAATGCTCTCAGCCAAGGAGTGTAAATGTAGACATGAGCTTCCAGGGGGATTCCTGCTTGCACTTGCCAGAGTGCTTCTTGCTGCTCCTCCTGAGACCCTGTACTCTTGTGCTACTCTCAATACAGGGAGGCACCTGAAAGGTACAGTCGAACCTAAAGTTCTTTGCAGTGCTTCTATATTGAGTCCATGAATTATTTATTTTCTAGTCCTGGGTAGCTGTTTCTTTTGCGGTAACAGCTATTTCTTCAGTTGCACCTTTTTTCCATTTTAGATGAGAATAGTATTGGGAAGTCCTTTTGTTTCAAATGTTATTTTTAGAATTTTTAGAGGTAACAAATTATAGTGGCAAGAAAGGAGGTAGAGGATGTAATTATAGTAAAATAGGCTGAAACCTCCATAAATTACTCTTAAATTTCTTTTTTCTCAGATTGTTTTTAAATTGACAGTATCCTTTTAAAAGTAAGCTGAAGAAGTAAATGCCTGCATAGATTCACTTTTTCCACCTTCAGAAACAATTCTGTAGGTGTGTAGTACTTATTAGGGCTGTGCGAAGCTTCAGTTGCTGATTTGATTCAGAGATTCAGCAGCTGAATCTCTGAATCCAAATCAAATCAGGAGACTCATTCATCTCCGTATCGAATCAGAAGTCTCCGATTTGATTCAGAGAGAGTCAATGATTCAGATGTAGACATAGTTTTATATGTTTTTTTCTACAAACCCCAAGGTACCAGGCGGCTCGTGAATGCTGAGATGGTGGGACGGATGGACCACAGAAGTGTGTGGGGTTTCCCTGTGTGCTCGGCAGTGGATCAGAAGCATTTCGGTCCACTTCTGGGTGTGCCGCAGAGTGCCCATGGGACCTCCCCCCCCCAACCAGCTTGGTGCCTGGTGCCTCAGACTGGGTCTGAGGGAGCACCTAGGGTTGCCCCGTGGCTGATCGCCGAGCTGGAGGGGCTGTGGGGGAAGTCCCCTGTGCTCTCGGTGGCAGATCCAGGAGCAGACCAGAAATGCTTCCAGTCCCCTTCCAGGTCCACCGCTGAGCATGCGGGGTGCCTCCCACCCCGCACTCCTGTGGGACGCTTCATCCACCCCACCATCTCGGCATTCACGAGACGTGTCTGTACTTCAAGATACGTAGAAAAAACATACAAAGCTGTATCTGTGGCTGAATCGCTGATTTTTCTGAATCAGAATCTAAACTTTGGATTTGGATTTGGCCAAATTGAATCGGGACAGTGATCTGACTCCGCAAATCGAATCACTGTCCCCTGAATCGGGCTGAATCTGAATCAAATACGGCCTGTTTCACATACCCTAAGTATGGTATGGTAGCTTTAACATAAAAACATACAGAGATCTAGTAAGAATTTTGTTTTTTTAGTTGCATAACTGAAGTCTGACTGCAGTGCATTCGTGCAGGGTAATGATTTTCAGCCCATGGTCCGCAGACCCCTGGGTGTCCATAGACTCTAAGGGGTCTACAAAAGATGACTGTGATCAATCAAAAGTATATGAGTGTCCACATTTACAATTCAAAGGGGTCTGCACATCCATTCAAAATGTTTTAGGGAGTCTGCAAATGAAAAGGTTGTGAAAACCATTGGTGTAGGGTTACCTGAAGCATTTGAACCCAAGACAACACTACCCATAATACTTACCTCTACCACTTGAACCGGTAAAATACTCTGTTAGTTGATGGTAATAATTGGATAGTAGAAGAAGATGTGACACACACCTTGCTAGTGTGCTACAGACTGCTTATATACAGCAATAAATAATATGGTATGGTTTGTGTACTATTTATGTGCATATTTTAACACAAGCTTGATAGAAATGCCTGTAAATATATTTTCCAGTTAGCATCTAGCATACTTTTTATAGATGGATCTGTTCATATGAAGATATCTAGAACTATGTTTCTGACAGTGATTCATATTAAAAAAAATGGGAATCACAGTATTGTTTCTGAGGTGGTTACAAATGTTGTTTACTAAACCTTTCTTTTTTCACAAAGCAGAAAATACCCTTCCCTTCAACCAAAATGACTATTTGCACACATGCATTTTAAATCTCTTGATATTTTCTCTTTTAACCCACATCTTTCATCTTTTGCCCGGTATCATTCTAGGTGGAAAGTTGCATGTACTAACTGTCAAGAAACCTTTTAGAAGAGATTTATAAATTCAAGAAACTGATGCGGGTCCAGGGGCATTGGCATTCTCAGGTGTTTCTAGTTTTTTAAAGGACACCAGCGACTTGCTAGCCCCCCCCCCTCCTCCCAGGCCCACCTATATTTCCCCCCTTTCTAAAAATAAGGTTCAGGTGGGGGAATGTTGAATACTCCAAGTTCCCACTGTACTCATTGGGAGCTGAGGGATACTTGGTACTTCAAAGGAAGTGCTCAGAACTTTACACAGTTGGGTCCTTACAGTGTTGTTTCTCATGGGTTAGTTTCCCTTTCTGATGGCTGATGAGTGGATACCGTTTATCTATTCCTTCTAATTCTGTGGGTTTTTTCCCAGTATTCCCTAGCATTGGTTACTGGCAGATCCATGACTTTGTAATATAACATATTTTTGTGCTGACTTAATGGTCATTTTTAACGTTACTTTTTAATATTGCATTCTTTGAGTGTAAACGAACACGGCAAAATACAGAATAGATTATCACTGGCCACTTTTTCTTTGCTGGAATACTGAATCAGAAATTCAAATGACATAGTTTCAATAGAACTCATTTTTCTTTAAAAGCCACTCACTGTTTGTGCTTTCTAGATCTGCATCAAGTCCTGATGAATAAGAGTCTGAACTTATGCTATGTATCTTGTCAAGTTAGGGACACTAATGATGTAACCTTAGCTATTGGGAATTGGAAACATGCTGAAAAATCAACTTTAATTCTGATGTGATGCCTGCAGCATTACATATGTAATTTAAAAATTATTGTACGTGGCAAAGGTTGTCATGATAACTGAGCTCGATACTTCATTTCAAAACACAAAGCATGCTACACATTGTTGGACCATGCTAGAAGCACTCCCATGGAGATCTGCCCTGCCCATGTGCTCCTGCCCTTTCCAAATTGATTGTTATAATTGTCAGATCATTGCTTTTGGATGCATGCACATTGCTGCTGTCAGTCTAAGGTGTGCACGTCAGAGAAGTGCTGAGCATGCAATACAGACCTGTATATATACTTTCAAAACATACAGAAGAAAGAAAATGATTTTTGATTAATGGAAGTGGAGAAAATTGCTAAGGAAGCAGATGTTCATCTTAAAAATATTTGACAACTTTTCCTAACACGCAGTAAATAAAATTCCAGTTGTGTGCGTTTGTGTTTTTACCTAGAAATAAAGAGGATAGTATCAACCTAAATTAGTTAAACCTGATCTTTCCCCTGAGGCTTCCTAATAGTCCACACTTAAACTGTTGTAGCTTATATAGAAAAATATAGATGCATCTTATATTGTGCATATTTACCATAATATAGGTAGTATCAGCAAACATAAATAAATGAAGGATATAATACTTAGAAATGGTAAGTATTATGAGATGCATGTTACAGCTCAGGAAGCTGAGTCAAATAAAGGTTGACTGTTTTATTCATGGTCATAGAGCCATTCACATGGCCACTAACAGTCTACTTCCTGTTGCTTTGCTGTAACTACTAGATGGACATCACTTGGTCAGGGGTCAAATATGTGATGTATAATTGTTTCTGAAGAGGTGTTCAGTAGCACAGTATTTTAGACTGTATAGTGATTGTGATTGGCTGTGAATATATTTCCTTTTTTTTTTTTTTTAGTTTGCAGACAGTAGGCTGCATGCCACCTCCTGTGTCTTCTGCAGTTATTTTAACCAAAGCTGTTGGTGGAAATGAGGTGAGTTTTTTATTTTTCTACTATTTATTTTTAGTATGTTTTTACAAAGAATATTTTCTGCGATGAAAATCAGAAGGCAAAACATCTTCGTCAGTCCCTCGCAGTCAAGAATGATTGTCTTCCAGGATTGTCTTATCTGTGTCTGAAGATAAATGATGAGGTCTATCTGGGATCAACAGACTCTACTGCAACTTGGACATGTATTTCTGTGTGGAGTGGGTAGCAGTGGATTATGCCAAAACATATAGTATAGCAAAACAGATGTGGCATACTACTAAGCTTATAGAGACTCTGAAAGTATTGATGCTTTGTTGGTATGAAATAAGGGAAACAAAGTGTCTTGTTAACATGCTGGTAGTGGTTAAGACAGCAAATCCTTGTAACCACTGAGACCTGTGGTGAGACCAGCTGATATAACTATATCTGTCTCTCTTTTTACATTGTATTTCCTCCTCCCCTACCACATGTATTCAACTGTTTTGTATTGAATAAATCAGAGATGGTGAGCTGTCTGGGGCAGGGACTGTCTTTGGAGGGATTGTGCAGCCTCTTATTCTGAGACTGCTTCCTGCCTGTGATCTTTTAGCACTAATGTAAGGAGTAATTACATTTTTAAAAGTGCCTGTATTTAAATATTGTTAATCATGTTGCAAAGTCAAACTCTTAAAAGAGAGGAAATTCCAGAATTCTGGTGGTCTGCTGGAGTGCATTGTGATTAGTCTATAATTGTATTGCCAGATATAAGGTTTTCTATAGGAACCCTAGTGGACAAGACAGATGATGCTTAGGAAGTGAATTAAGGCTTGGCAATTAAGGTTTTTTTTCTAGGGTTTCTTTCTTCCTATTGCAGAAGTTGACAGGTGTGTTTTGGATCAGATAGGGGAAAGAAATAAGTTAGGGGATAGGTCTTACAGCTGAGGCAATTTAATTGCATGGTTGGAGCCTTCAGACCCACTACACAAATTTCTATGACTTAAGCTAAGCGTAACTGATAGCAGTAGTAGGCTGTCAGTTTCTGTATGGACCTGTGTTAGAAGGGGAGTTGATGAACACTGTCAGTGGGCTTCATGGATATTTACTAACACAAGAGTAATGGTGAGACTCAGGAATCTCGATTGCCTTCCTCAGATCTAGAGGTGAAAATACTCCGCTGAACCATAGATTTAATTGTCCATCTCCCTGTCTGATCTCTTCTGTCCTGTCCTTGTTCCAGTTCTCTTGTGTGTTCCTCCCCAGTAACATAGCTGAGGGTGCAGGGCAGGGTGAGATGCAAAAATAGTTGCTGCTGCAGCTGACGCTACTCTGTGTGCTGCCTCTGTCTGGAGTACAGGGCTGTGTTATGCTTCTGTTCCTCCCCCACTTCAGCACCTGGTCTCTTGCGAAGTCTAGGCCAAGACTCCATTCCCACAGCAGATTCTTTATCTCAGTCTCACTCCTGGCCAAGCCAGTTCCAGTATTTTCCCTTCCCCCCAATGCTACTTGTCCAGCCTCCCGCTCCTTTCCTTCAGCCTTGCCTATCAGTTTCTTTGCTCTAGCCAGACCCAGTCTCTTGCATCCCCCAAGTCCCAAGGACTGGGCCCCTTGTAGCTTCCCCCACAGTCTGCCTCTGGCACACCAAATCAAGGCATTTGCACTCTGGCCAAAAACATTGTCCACCCGGATCTTGAGGACAGGAGAGAGAGTATCTCTGGTGTCCCATGGGGGTAGCAGCTATAAGGAATATGTTGCTCAGCCCCCACATCTTTGGCTGTGAGTATGCTTAGTTGAGGTGGAATCTTTGGATAATTTAGCTTCCAAACTCTGACAGTCTCTAGGGAGTATGTGCAGAATGATTTTTTTTTTTTTTTTGGCAACTTGTAGTTTGACTGAATTTCTGCTTTTTTTTTCTCCATGGTACAGCAAATGGCCTAGCTCTGATGCAAGCTCAGTCAGATCAGCAGTGCTAGATTAAACTGATCAGCTATAAGAATTATTTTTAACTCATGCAGAACAAAATCTTTTTCACCTAATCTTACAGAAATCACTTTTCAGTTGTGAAGTTATTGTATTTTAATACCTGAACTGAACCAGAGCTGTAAAGGCTTATATTGTAATTTTGATTGTTGACTGTAATCCCTCCAAAGCTAATGTTACTTCATCAGGTACTGCTGCTTTTCATGCAGTTGACAGATTTTTCTTAAGTAAAGATTTGAAAGTTTCAGTCTATTTTCTAGGAGTACGCAGTGGCATGGATGGTGGAATGCTGCAGTAAGATAGAAAAAAACTTGAGGTAACAAATAAAGGTTTGAATCTCACTGGAATTCAACAATTAAGTAGAAAAACAGCTAGCTGTTTGTCTTAGGAAATACTGTGCAGTGTAGGTTAGCAGAGGGAATACTCCACCCAAGACTCAGCATTCCTGCATTCTGTTCTTGGTTTTGCCATTAACTTGCTGAATGAACAAGTCATTTTACCTCGTCTGTGGAGGTAAGGGTACCTGCAGATCTGCTTGTGGACAGCATTGCATGCGGTTCTTAGTTCTGCATGAGGGTAAATAACTATTTGCTAGAATAAGGAGACAGCACTGTTAGGCTGGGAGCTGAGGATTTTTCTGTATATCATTTTGAAAACTTCACCATGAATTCGTGATAAAAAGGGAGGATTTCTTGTTCATTTTTATTCTGTTTTAAATTAGTCTCTGATAGAAGGCACAAAAATGATTTACTTTGGTTGATTAGGGAAGTGAAGTGAATATTGAAGACAGTTTGGGAAACTAATTGAATTGTATTCAGCGATTCCAAATTTCTTTTTGGACTTTTAGGTACAAATGAAGGTAAATTTAAAGTCCAGACTCAGTCAAATGCAGTATACATGTAGCTGCATAAACAAGGGACGTTTAATAGTGAACTTTAGAACCTACTCATTTTAATTTATTTCTATTTTGGTTTGAAAGCACTCTACACTGAAGGATAGCTACCACAGTTCAGAGTATCCTTGAGGTAGCTTTTAAGAACACAATAACACAGGAGTTAGAAAGCCCAGCCACACACCACCAGATCACCAATCCTGTGATCCCTATAGCTTGAAATACTTGGTGTACTTTCCCAACAGACTTCCCACAAACTTCACTGTCTTCGCTAAACTGACACATTTTGCATACAGCCAGAAGGTCACCCACTGAAGCTATTTCAGACTTTAGGGGTCAGAGCACTCCAGAGAAAACAAACTTGTATGCAGAACCCTCTGCTAGTAGTGCCCTGTGTTTCTCCCTCTTTATAAAACAAACTGTTGCTGTTTGCAGCTAGGATTTTTTAGCAGGAAGGGAGATGTTCTTTTAGGTAGATGGGCTTGGTAGGGGATGGCAGAGGTATGAATTTAGGGTCATTTGCAAGACTAATTTCAAGTACTAACCTGAGTTTTGTTTTCAGCTAATATCTGTATGAATGAACTGTTCACATGAGTGCTAGCAAAAGTGAGGAAAAAGAGGTTGGACATGAGAAATCAAAATGTAATTTTTAATTTGGTGATATTTACTCATAATCTAGCTGTACCAAATAATTTTAGGAAGTCTCTTGATAGTGGGAAATGCTGGAGAAGGACAGTCCTATAACTAAACTACAGAATTGAAAAACCTGTTTTTCAATTGAAGAGACCTGTTTTAATTTCCAGCTCTTCCAATATGCCAGACTCCCAGTGTGACCTTGGGCAAGCCACTAAAGGCCATATTTTTAAAGGTATTTAGGTGCCTAATGATGCAGATAAGCATTTTGTGGATTTTCAGGACCCCCTAGCAGATGCCTAACACCAACTGAAAATCCCATGAGGCACCTATCTGCATGTTTAGATGTCTAAATACATATAAAAACCTGGTCCTAAATTATTCTGTTCTTCTGTAAAATTTACAAACATTGCAGTATATTACAAAGACTGACTCATAAAAAGGGTCTTTAGACAGGATATGCTGTAAGAGTGCAAATTATTATTACAGGATGTTTAGAAGGCAGCTAATTTTTTTTTTCTGAAGAAAGAAAGGATAAAGAGAAGAGTTTGAAAATAGATCTGTAAGTCCCTCATCTGTGTTTGGAAAAAACACAATTTGAGATGACTTTTATGGGCAGCGTAATGACACATTTGGAAAAATATAGCATACTAGGCAGAGCTGGGATAGAATTGTAGAGATAAATCACAATAGACAATTTGTGTTATTGAAGAATACTTTGGCCCTTAGCTACATCATGAGAGGAAATCATGGAAGTAATTTTTTTGCAGTTAAAGGAAATTGTAGTCTTAATAACTCTTGAATTTTAGTCAGGTTGACCTCTTATTAATTCTTCCTGCATCTGGGTTTACTGCACCTGCCATTTGCAAAATTAAGTGCTGTATATATGAGGCAGAAGATTTGTAAATAAGAAAGAAGTTAGTTAAGAGCATTCCTGGAACCAGATACTCGTGGGGAGAGAAGTAACACTTTTATTTATTTATGGATTTTATTTTAAGGGACAAATAGGCTTTCTGGAAAAGATTTAAAGGGAGGGAGAATAATAACTTGATACAAACAAAAACATAAAATAAAATGAACTGCATATTTGTTAAAACCATTAAAATAAAAGTTGCAGTAAACAAACACAGGAAAATTCCTGTGGTCTTTCTTTTTAGCAAGAACAAAAAACGAACCTGAACAAAACTGTAAAGTCACAAATAAGCTATTGACTTTTCTAAAAATACCAGAAAAGTTCTTTGAACTGTGTATATATAAACATTAACTTTTTCAAAAACAAAGTACAGTACATTTAAAGGAAAGTGGAAACCCAAATTTGTTGTTTTTTCATGCCTTTATGTACCAGTATACTGTGCAGTGTCTAAAAACTTTTGATACTAACTCACAAATATTACATAACACAATTATTTGAGAACTGGATATAAAATATTCACATTTTAGCATTTGGCTTCCTTTTCTAATTAATGTTAATTCACATGCCTAAGATGACTTGGAAAAGTAATTTTTAGGTTATATTTACAAT